TGGATGAGCCACACTCTCTCAATCTCAGAGGATGGCCATGGCAAACCTCCCTCTGAAGAAACTTGCCAAGAAAACCCCATGATAGGGTTGCCTTAGGGTCGCTGTAAGTCGGAAACGACTTGAAGGCACGCAACAACAACAGCAAAAACAACAACAGAGAAAGAAATCCCATCACCTCTCTAGACACTTGGTTCCATTGCCCAACCGCTCACATTGTCAAGACGTTCCTTCTAAAGTTCAATCAAAATCTTGTTATTGTGTGCCTTCAAGTTGTTTCGATTTATGGCGACCTTAAGGCAACCCTATCATGGGGTTTTCCTGGAAAGATTTATCGAGAGGAGGTTCACCATTGCCGTCCCCTGAGGCTGAGAGCATGTGACTTGCTCAAGGTCCCCCAATGGGTTTCCACAGCCAAGTGGAGACTGGAATCCCGGTCTCCAGAGTCATAGTCAGGGTGACCAGACATCCGCCTTTTCCAGGACACATCCGACATTTCCGCCTTCTGTCCAGAAGGAATTTTAGAATGTCTTCCATTTTGAGCAGGACTAAGACGTGGCACATAAAATTGCGCTGGAGGACCTACAAATGCCTAGAGAAGTGCTCTCTCTAGGAATCTGTAGGTTCTCCAGTGTAACTTCTGGTGGAGGTTGACCACAGAGTTATGCTGGAAGACCTAGAGATTCCTAGAGAGATCATACTAATCAAATCCGTGAATAATCATATCCGCAAAAGTCAGAAAGTGTAGTGCGTGGTTCTAGAAAGCGTAGGGATGGAATGAATTATTGCAAATATCCAAATGCTTGATGAAACTGTAGTTTCCCAAAACTCTGGCAAAGAAAACCTGAATATGGCATTGGACTTTTCACCATCAGGACTTTTTCTGCATAAAGCCATAGCCAGCCATTGTGTGCCAATCAAAAAAGAATGGGTTTTCTGGGCAGAAGACTTGGTTTTGCACAAAAATGAGGATCCTCTGCACCATAAACCTGATCCTTATGCAAAAAAATCTATTTTCTTGCATTAAAAAAACCCAAGATTCGTGCACAGAAAATCTCAGCTAGATTCCTGCAGATAAGTCCCAACTAGAGTAGACCCATTCAATCTGCTGTTGAAAGGTGAGTCAACACAGAAGAAAATCCCATTGTTTCAAAAGCCCCTCTCTAGTCAAAACTAACACTTTGTCCTCTTTATTTCCTGCACTGACTTTTTTAATTTTCCAATTTAAGTGTCTTTGAAATTAATATACTAGCAAGACTGCTTGTTTAATGGCCTTTTAAGCCATTAAATGTTTTAAATCTGCCTTGGGATCCCATGCTGGGGGAAAGGTGGGATAGAAACTGAATCAAAGAAGGAAATAGAAAGAAAAGAGAAGGATTTAGGCCAACTTTTTTTTTTCCTTTGCAAAATATAAATATAAAAAATAAAATAAAATTGGTATTTTGTTTTGGCTCATTTTGTATAGAGTAAGAGCTGGCCAGAGAATTCTCTTTGAAAAATGCACCACTTTCAGGGAGTCTCTCAGAGCAGGAATAAAATTGCATCAATTATTCATTCTTGCTGGTGATAATAAATAATAACAAATAACAAATAAGAAGGTTAACTTCCCTAGGAGAGGAACAAGCAAGGAAATGTGGCTTTCCAGATTTTTTCTCCTCCTCAGCAAGGAACACATCGGGTATGGAAAGAATTTTCACTGTTGTTCATGTCCCAGCTCAAAAATAAGTTTCCCAATAATTGAAAAATTCAGCAGACAAAAATAACACAAAGCCAATAATTTCCTTGCACCTTGACATCATTCAGGAAATTATTCTATGCAGCAAAAACCTGCTTGTTTGCACAAAAAGTTTAATTTTGGAAACACTATTTTTGTGCACAAAATCTTTTGTGTGCACAAATGGTTTCAGTGCAAAAACTGAATTTTTGCACCACAATTCTTGCCTCCGTTATTCTTGTCATCTGAATTTTTCAACTATTGGGAAATTCATTTTTCATCCGGGACATGAATAACGGTGACAACTCTTTCCCTCCTTGGTGTGTTCATTCCTGGGGGTACATGAGGAGAAAAGAAGGCCTTGCCCTACAAAGGAAAAAATTAAATTTGGGTGCAAAATTTGAATATATATATTTTTTTTGTGCAAAAATTTGATTTATGCACAAACCCCACAATTTTTTACTTGGAAAAAAAATCCACATCCTTCTGCACAGAATGATTTCCCAAAACACTTTAGGATGCATGAGAGCAAGGTAAAAATTGCACAAAAATATTAGCTTGGCAGGGAGCAAACTGTAAAAACTGTTTGCCTTTCTTTGTACACAAGGGCAAAATAATCAAAGATTTGCAACCAAAGATGCCAAAGACAGAAGGTCAAGTTTCCTGAATATTCCTTATCCTAGTGCAAGGGTGAGCAGCTGCATGACGCACATGACACACATGACACACCTAAAAACACTTTGTGGACTGCAGTGCGGACAGGATCGTGTCACTTCTGTTTTTAATTTTAGGCTCAAAGAGGCAGGTTTTCATCGGTTCCCCCCAACATCTGAGCAAAGGAGACCCCAACTACCACGTTTTTACAGTAGCTTGGGCATTTTTGTATCAATTGATACAATTCTCACACACACACACACACACACACACACAAAATGATTTTCTTAAAGGAATTTCTGGGGGCTGTGAGGTTTTGGGGTATGTTCAATGGAACTCCAGGGGCCACTGCTTTGTGACCCCTGAAGTTTCATAGGATACACCCCAAAACCTCACACCCCCAGAAAAATGAGGTTATTTTCTTATTTTCATCCCTGTCCCAGTGGAAATTGGCTAGGGCCATGAAGGAATAACTCATCATCATCATCATCATCATCATCATCAATATCTCGCCATTCTCCCAACACTGGGACTCAAGGTGGCTAGCAATGTATCTAAAAGAATACAGATTGAAAGCAATACAAAAATGTTGATACAAGTTATCGATCCCAAAGATGAGCCACAAGCTCAGCTTGACTCTGTGATGTAACACAAGGAGACAAAGAGCCTTGCACACATTTGGAAACTGGACACTATCGCAAGAAGGCTGTGTGCAAGGAGACCCTCGCTTCCCACCTACTCAAACACCAACACACACACACACACACACACACACACACACACACTTTTCAAGGCAGCGCTCTCGCTCTCAGATTCCTCCTTTTTGAGCCTGAGATCTGGGAGTTTTGCCTCCAAACTCCTTTGCTCTTCCAAGGCTATTGAGGCAGAAAGGCAACAAATACAACCCCACACAGCACTTTGGTGCATTATTCACAAAGCTCATACTGGCTGCATCTGCACTGCCGAAAAATCCAGTTTTACATAACTTTAATTGCCATGGCTCCCTGCTAAGGAAGTCTGGGAATTGCAGTTCTGTGAGACATTTAGGATTCTCTGGTGCCACAACGAACTACGAATCCCAAGAGTCCATAGGATTAATAATAATAATAATAATAATAATAATAATAATAATAATAATAATAATAATTTATTTATTTATATCCCGCCTTTAGCCAGGGCTATCCAGGCGGCTAACAATTAAAATACAATCCCATACAATACAGTAAACATATATCCCCCCCTTAAAAAAATATTAGATCATAAACAAGATTAAAACTAATTTAAAACATCAATAATCAATACTATTAAATGGCCGTTTAAGGATGGAGCCGTGGCAGTTAAAGCAGTGTTAAACTGGATTATTTCTGCAGTGCGGAGGAGACACAAGGCTTTCTAATCTGGGTCATATTACCATTACGATGGCACAGCAAGATCTGTCGGAGTCTGCAGAAATGCAACCTCTGCCTTGCACCAACACAACCTCCACAATCTGGGCCATGCACACTTCTGGTTTTTCGTAGTAATAACCAGACTCCAGTCCTCTTTAAGGCTATCAGATCTGCTCCAAATGCATTACACCACTTTCGGGAAACATAGCCCAGGGGTAGCCGTATATATCAAGCATCCACTGTTTGAAAATATTTTAAAACCATCACAGATTCCAAAAAGTAAACCTTGACTTTGCCGTTTCATATACGAGACACAATTTTACTATGCCATTAGCCGTCCCGGTTGTGTTACAAGCCACCCTGGTTGTGTTACAGAGAGAGGCGGGATATAAATAAATTTTATATATTATTATTGTTGTTATCATCATCATCATCATCATTGTATTTAATGGGATAAACAGATTTTGTTATCCCAGGGTCCTGGAACCAAACTGCAACGGATACCAAGGGAGCATCTATTCTATGTGAATATTTCATGTTGCGCAACATGATGTAGGATCTAGTCTTCCAGAGTTGGAAGGAACCCAAGGGGGCATCTAGACCAACCCCACACCAATGCAAGAATCTATTTAAAACCATCCAGGAAGGTGGCCATTCAACCACAGTGTATAAAAGCTTCATTGGAGGAGAGTCCATCACCTTGGCCCAAGTAAGTGATTCCACCATAAAAGAAAACTCTTATCATTAAGGGGACGTTTCCAGATGTTTTGTCAGAATTTATTTTTATGGCAGCCCTTTAGATGCTGAGAAATAGTGATACCTTTATGGGACCAACCCAAACGCATCATGCAAAAATCCACATTATTCCCCGTTTTTACCTCCTTCGCCTTCTTCCACACGTTGTCGTCCCAGATCCTTCCAAATCCTGCCGCGGCCGATGCTTAAAGAAGGAGCATTGGGATGCCTGCCAAGGCACACGGTGGAGGCCCCCGCACGACGCCCCTTCGAGGCGGCTCTGGCCTGAAAGCGGGTGCTGCTCACCAGGACCTGCACATAGAGGAAGATTTGTCTGCTCAGGAAGTTGTGTATGCATGCCCTCTGTGTGTGTTTGTGGTGTGTGTGAAGTCACAGCCGGCTGGCATGGATGTGCCAAGAGAGATTTACTACTGTTTGTGTTTTGGAAGGGGGAGGAAAGAGAGCCAGAGCCGGCATGCGCATGCGCAATGAGAGTCAGGCAGCTCCACAACCACAGTGTGGCCTAGTGGTTTGAGCCCTGGGCTAGGACACTGGGAAACCAGGGTTCGAATCCCAGCTCAGCCATGCTAAACATACTCTGTGGGACCATGGCAGACCCTCTCTGGAGAAAGTTGCCAAGAAAACTCCAGGATAGGTTCGCCTTAGGATTGCCGTAACTTGGAAGTGACTTGAAGGCGCCCAGCCACAACCACAACTAAAGCTCTAGAAACCCACGAGGTGACCTTGGGCAAGTCACACACTCTCAGCCTCATCTGATCAAAACGTGCCAAGAAAACCTCAAGATAGTGCTTTAGGGTTGTCATAAGTTGGAAATGCCTTAAAGGTAAACAACCACAACCAAAGCCATAGGAACCAACTAGGTGACCCTGCACAAGTCACACTCTCTCAGCCTCAGAGGAAGGCCATGACACACCCTCTCTGGACAAATTTTGTCACGAAAACCCGAGGATAGCTTTGCCTTTGGGTTGTCATAAGTCGGAAATGACTCTAAGGGCCTGTGACGACTAATGCCCAGAAAGTTTACCTTTCTTTTTCTCCGCAGATCTGAGGGCGGGAAGGAAAAAGCAGGAGCGTTTCTCAAATTCTGGGCATCGAGAGGGGGGCAGGATTGGCATGTGAGGAATGCACTAGGACTAAGCCCCCCTTTTTGCTTTTTTGGCTCTTGCAGCAAAGAAAGGACGAACAGACTTTGCTGCATCTTTTCTATCCCTTGCCTTCCCTCCCTCTTTCCTTCCTTCCTTCCTT